ACATGGGTAGCATCAGCAGAACTGGAAACTATTAACATAAGAGAGAATCAAATGGAAATGCCAGTAATAAAAAAACACAGTACTAGAGATGAAGAATGCCATTAACAGATTCACCAGTAGACTCAACAAAGTTGACAAAAGAGTTGGTGACTGTGAAGATAAATCACTGGAAATTACCCAAACTTACCCACAAATGGGAAAAAGTAGTGGAAAAGAGGGGGAGAAAAACCACACAAAACAGTGCATTCAAACGCTGTGGGACAATTTCAAGTGATGTAATATGTGAAAGTGGAATCCCAGAAGGAGAAGAGAGATGGAAAGATATGATGGGGGTGGGAGTGGGTGAGGGGTGGGGCCATGAGACAGAAAGTATTTGAAGGGTAATGGCAACTATTTTCCAAAAGTAATTAAAGACATCAAACCACAGCTTCAGGAATCTCAGAGACACTAGATAGGATGAATACCTTTATCCTCCAAAAAACAAACACACACATATAACCACTGAGACGCATTAAAATTCAAAAATAAATGGAAAGTGTTGCTGAAGAACAAAGATAAATGGAAAATGTTCAAGGCAGCCACGTGATAAAGACAGAGTAGATACTAAGAATTCATAAGAATTACAGCAGACTCCTTACTAGAAGTTATGCAAGCCAGAGAAGAATGATATTTTTAGAAAGCTAAGAGTTCAGTGGAACAAAAATATATTTTAACAATAAAAACTTTGAGACAAACAAAAACTGAGAGAGCTCATACCAGCTTACTTGCACTATAAGAAATGTAAAGGAATTTCATTATGCTGAAACAGTGCAATGCCAGACAGAAACCTGGAGCTATACAAAGATTTGGGAAGCACTGAAAATGGAACAAATGAAGGTAAATATAAAATAAATTTTATTCTTGTTTTAAATTTCTCTAGAAGATGATTAGGATTACTACATCAAAGATAGCAACTATGTACTATAAATTTATAGCACATATAAAATAAGACAGTAGCACAAAGGAAGGGAGGGATAAATTGGGATAATACTGTTGTGAGGTTCTTATACTACATATATTGTGGTGTAATACTATTTGAAGGTATTCCATAACTAAAGGTATATCTTGTAAATCCTAGGGCAATTACCGAAAAGCTTAAAAAGTATAAACAAGAAGCCCACAGTACAGATAAAATAGAATGATAGAAATAATGCAAAAAGCAGAAAGGTAACAGACCAGATGGAAAAAATAAAGAACTGACAATGTAGATTTAAATCCAGCCGTATAAAACATCACATGAAGTTAATGAAATGTCAATATAAAGACTCAAATGTCTATAAACCCTCAAATTGAAAGAAAGACCAGTTTGGTAAAAAAACAAGACACAATTATATGCTGTTTACAAGAAAGTCACTTTAAAAAACGTGAGAAGGTGACAATCAAAAGGATGGAAAAAGATGAACAATGCAAACACTAATCAAAAGAAAGCCACAGTAGTTATATTGACATGAAGTTAAGTAGACTTCAGAACAAGGAATATTTCCAGTGATGAAGAAGGACATTACATAAGGATAAAGAGGTTACCTCACCAAGAAGACATAGCATACACATAACAGAAAGTATGTCTAACAGTTAGAACCTCTAAATGTATGAGGCAAACACTGTTAAAACTGGAGAGAGAAATAGACAAATTCACAATTATAGATGGAGATGTCAACACTCAGAATGAATAAAACAAATACAGAACATTAGTAAAAAATTGAAGATTTCAGCAACATTGTCAAACAACTTGACCCTTTTGATATTTGTGGAACACTTCAGAAATTTGGAACAGAATAGTTGAATATAGTCTTCTCAAGTGCACATGAAATAGTTACCAGGATAGACCATATTCTGGATTAGAAAATCAACTTTAAATTTTTTTAAAAAATTTAAATTATACAAAGAATGTTTTCTATTCATAGTGGAGTTAAACTACAAATCAACAACAGACAAATACCTGGAAAATCCCCCAAATATTTAGATATTAAATAGTACACTTCTAAATAACTCATGGATCAAAGAGGATTTCACAAGAGAAATTAGAAAACATTTTGAATTGACTAAAAAGAAGTATACCAAAATTGACAGGATACAACTAATGCAGGGGTTGGAGAGAAATCTATAGCATTAAATGCTTATAGTAGAAAAAAGAAAAAAAAAACGGGTTAGAGGGAAACTATAGTATTACATGCTTATAGTAGAAAAGGGAAATGGCTTCAAGTCAGAGATCTACGTTTTTACCTTAAGGTAGCAAAAGAAGAGCAGATAAAATCCGAAGTGCGTAAAAGGTAGAAATAACCAAGATAAAAGCAGAAGTCAATGAAATTCATTACTGTAGTAGAGGTCCTAGCCAATATAGTAGGGCAAGTAAAGGAAATAAAGGAAATATTGTTTAAAAAGGGAGAAGTAAAGCAGTCTCTAGTCACAGAGAGCATGACTTTTTAAATAGAAAATGATTTATTGAAAAATGGAGAAGGGCTTGATGCTTAAAATATAAAAGATAAAGATTGTTAGAAATGTTCCAGGTTAAAAGATACTAAGGAGACATGATGAATAAATTTAATATCTGTGCTTAGATTAGATCCTGGGGGAAAATGCTGTAAATTACACAACTAGATAACTGGCAAAATTAAAATATGGGAGATGAGGAGAAAGTATTATATCAATATAAAATTTTGAGGGTGATAACTGCACTGATATTAATGTTAGATAATTCCCTTAGTTCTAGGAAACACTGAAGAATTTAGGACTAACGGGCCATGATGTATGTAACTTATCTTCAATGATTCAGGAAAAAAAGTTGTGTAGAGAAAGGTAAAGAGATAATAAAGCAAATGAAGGTAAAATGTCATAGTCAAATCTGGGTGTTTCCTATATTATGCTTGTTTTTGTAACTCTGTGTAAATTTGAAATTTTTTTTAAAAAAAGTTTTCAAAAAGGTTCTTCAAAAATGACAAAAGAAGAGGGTCATCATACTTGAAGGTGGAAATCACATTTCTCACAGGTGTGTTTGGAGTAAGCAACTTTAAGGGATGAGGTAATGTCTTTGCCTCCGGAACAAAGAGCCTGTTTGCTTACTGCTTGCTGTAAACCAGTGGTTTCCCCAGCTCAGTGTTCCTCTCCTGTAACGCAGCCTACTCTTTTGCAACCATCCACCCTAGCTATGTCTGTTGTTCTCATGTGAATTGGCACAAACGTATTGATGATCATGCTCCTTGCTGTGCTATGAGTAATAAAGTTTTTTTTTTTTTTTTTCTCTGACCCAGGCGTCTCATGCCTTTTGCCAATACCCATGAAAAAGTAAGAGGCTAACTTATTAAATTGAAAGAATAAACTCAAATTTCAGACCTGACACATTACTCTTCTAAACATGTCTTCCTTATTTCTATTTCTGTTCTTTTTCTCACATTGAATTCTTTGCCAAGAATATTTTCCTATTTCACCCATCCTAACTTTATATATTCTTTCACTGTACAACTCTCGTTTAGTAATATTACTAATTAATTTCTGATTAAATTATGTCTGTGAGAGGAGACACTATCATATACACTTTTGTTCTCATATAGAACCAAGTATAGAATTCATTTATGTATTTTTGATCGACTGATTCTTATTATGAGCAGCTAAAATGTTCGAACATATTTTTTAAACCCCCATCAAAACGATAGCTTTTTTTTTTTAAGGTTAGTATATTGTTTCTTTAGACTGAAGATACTAAGTAGGATTAGAGAATTTTCAGAGTTGAAAAGAGTTTTAAAAATCATTTGGAAAGTAAAACTCATTTTCCTTAAGAGAAATCTATTATGGTTGTTATGGTTAGCAAAATCTATTATCACCAAGCGAGGATTTATATTACCATTCTTTTTATTTCTTCTCACTATGATTATAGTGATTGTAATTTTGTCATACTCCCTCAAATTTTTTATTTTATATACTGGTGTTATTAATCGAATGTGACAATTATGAAATCATTTGGATTACTACTATTATGTTATACCCTTGTATATTTTGTAGAAAACTCTTGGCTAGATTTGCCTTTTGTGGTACAATAGTGTTTGAAAAGGTGATTCCCAAAATACCCTAACCTTATCAGAATGATTTCTCTCCTTAACACTATCTGTTCCATTTATAATAACATATTTTTCTTGGTCACTTCGGCTATACACCACAGTGATTAAGATCATGGACTCTAGAACCTGTTTTCCTGGGTTTGAATCCCAGTTCTGTTACCTGCTGGCAATGTGACCTTAGTTATGTTACTTAACCCATTTGTGCTCTGATTCCTCACTTGTATAACAGGAATAGTTGTGCTTGTGGGTTACTGGGAGGTTAAATGAACTGATGTATGTCAAGTCCTTAAAAAGCACCTGACATAAAAAAGATGTGTATTTTATTTAATGATATCGTTTCCTAAAAGATAGCTAAGAGGCCATGATGTTTTCCATGTAACGTGTCAGCCTAAGTAGGAGGATAGTTTATTCAGGTCGTCAGCTTTGGAGGGATTAATTTCACTCTTGTTTATATTTTAAAGTTTTTTTTTTTTTTCTTGGAGCTTATTCCTTTTAAGGAATTCTTTTTTACCAATGCCTATCACCATACAGTTTTCCTCTACCCATTATTCTTTGTACATTTTATATGCATTACATAGTTTGTGTGTGTGTGTTACTTTTTAAAAACAATTTGATATAATTTTAGTGGCTTTTAAGTATTAATTTCCATGAGTCTGTGCTATGCAAATGAGGCTATGTGAATGTTTCTAATGTACACTTATAGAACTATGGCATATAACCTGATACTTGGTTATATATTTCCACTTTACCTGCTTTTAACCAATATTCATGTATGATTCTTTGCTAGATTATGGTTATTAAAACTAGTAGACCATATCAATTACAAGCATGACCATACGTTGCTTTTAAGAATAAATGATCACCCAGTAACGTGGTCTAAGTAAAATATTCTCTTTTTTAATTATGTAGTCCTCCTCGCCATCCTCATCACAGCCTCATTCTAGCCACTGCAGAACGAAGGCCTCATCATTGTGTCACCATGCATCCCTGCCCTGGGTCAAACGTTACCATGTAAGCCCTGCAAAGGCTACCAGTCCATCTCTCCGTCTTCGTCGATGGCGACCCTTCTTACGCGTACCATCTTTGGGTCTCCATTCTGTTGTAAGTTTAGTCAATCTTCCATCTCTTCTCCAGTGACAAGGGCTATCCCTTTTTTTTTTTTTTTCTTAACTTCAGTCTTCAGAGTGCTTTTCTCTTGGTTCACTCAACCATTAGCTTTTTTCTCCCCCAATAAGATTGCAAGCATACCTTTATGCTTTGCAGTCTAGCTTGACTTTTGCCAGTGCCTGCAACATCCATCTTTCCACTCCATATCCTGCCAACATAATGGCGCCTGCCTTTTGATGAGTACTGATCCATGTTCGTGATAATGTTGAAGTCTGGTTAATTGTTAAAGTGAATATGGGTTCTCTTACCCTTCAGCTTTCTGAATTCATTTAGTTAACTCAGGTCAACAAATGCTGTGTACCTTCTGAGTTCTTTGCCATCTATTACTTTTTTTTTTTTTTTTATGTTTCTGAGCATGACTTTAGTCTCTTGCCATGCTCTGGGATTACTTTGCTTACTCTATTCTCAACCTAAATCCTTCATGGTGTAGGGTGTTTCATCTAAGCTATTATTTTATTCCCTGAGGTGGCTCAGGTACTTGGTTTAATCTTGATCTGATCTTTCCTGCCTATTCAATTTCTAAAGATCTTTTCCAAGTAGGAAATGAAGATTTCCTCCTTGTGTATTGATGTAAGCTTCCCACAAATTTATGATTTCTCTTTTATAGGCTAATGATATCCGCAAACTATTAAAAATACGTTTTTCTTATAATCTTACTAATTATCTTAAGTGTTGAGACCGATGATGGAATTCTAGCTATGATACACTACAGAATTAAGCAACTATAGCTCTTGTCTTTCTGATGTTTTGGGCTACTAAAGGCAATGACTGTGGTTTAGCAGAGCCTCCCTAGAAATGCAGTATCTTAAAACTTTGGTGTGTGCCATACATTTATAAGAAATTTGACATTTCTATAAGTCGTGATGGCTTTTGAAGCCAGAGGAGGAAGTCTGACTACACATACATTTAATGCTTAAGAACAATTAAAAGAACAATTAAAAGTCAACGTCAAGCATTCTTTCCTTCCCCTTATTTACCCTTCTAGTGCTGTACTCAAACTGTGAAGTGGTATCTTTCCTTAAATATTTGCTTCCACCAAATATCAGTATGATCATCAAATACTTCTCCATTTGTACTGAGTATCAACAAACTGGCATCTCTCTCTTTCTGTTTCACTATCCTCATTGGGTCATGACATTCTTCATTTTTATTCATTCATCCGTTTGATATTTGTTGCTTCTCTACTGTGCCATATGCCATTTGGCACAGTGAGAGATACAAGGTGAATTAGATGACCAGGGTAGAATCTTAAAGGTGTAAATTCTGTCACGAGCACAATTGATCCAATTCTAATGTGAATTATTTCTTTTCTACTTAAAAATGTTCCACATATAAATGAACATATAAAATTTGGCATTTCCTGTTTTATATGCTTTTATATAATGTTGATCTTGGCTCCATATTAATTCCATTGCCTTATAGCTTTGAATATTTTATAGCATAGTAGTAAATAACATGGATTCTAGAAGCACACTGCCTGGGTTTGAATCCAGATTCTACCACTTACTAGCTATATGACCTAGAGCATGTTACTTAATGCTTCTGTGCCTCAGTTTTCCTGAGAGTAAGATGGGCATAATCATATTATGTACCTTATTGGGTTTATACAGGTTGAGTATGTCTTATCCAAAATGCTTGGGATGAGAAGTGTTTTGGATTTTGGTTGGATTATTTATATTAGACTTACCTGGTTGAGTATCTCAAGCCAGAATATTTGAAATCCACAATGCTGCAGTTAGCATTTTCTTTGAACATCTTGTTGGTGCTCAAAAAGTTTGGGGTTTTGGAGCATTTCAGATTTCAGATTTTTGGATTTGGGATGCTCAACCAGTATGATGATTAATTATTTGATACATATAAAACATTTAGAACAGTGCCTGGTATATATTAAGTGCTAAACAATTACGCATTAAATTTAGTGTGTATTTTAATGTGATGTTTATATTTAGTATTTAATTTATATCTAATTGATTTGTTATCACTTTTTATTTCTCTGAGTTAACTAAGTGTTGCATTCTAAATTGGGGATTATATGTATCAAAACTAATTGATTGGAAGTCAGTGGTACTGTTTATACTAAAAGAGTGGGATCCTCATCAGTAGATAGAGACATGTAAGAATAGTCATACTACATCTTTGAAGTGTCAATATCAGGAGGCAGCTTCAAAGCCAAAGTGGTGGTTGGATGTAAAGAGGAATTTTAATTTTTCCTTCATATATACGGATATATGAAGGAAAAAAAATCCAATCTATAGCTTTTTTTTTTTTTTGCCCTTCATGTAGTTATTTCTTGGTCGTTTTTTGAAACAAGACTTGCTGAAATTTGCTTTTTATTTATTTTTCTTTTTAGTGGAATAATTTTAAGCAGGTAAATAATTACAGATTTTTAGACTCTGAGACTAATTGAAGCTGACCGAAGGAAAAGGCTTATCACAGGTTCTGAGGTTTTGTGGAAGGCTTAGAAGTTTTGAGCTTTGCTTATCTTTTATAATAGTTTGAAGGCTTTTCATACCCTCTTTAGAATTTTGTGTTTTTAGTATGCACTTTTAGGTTAAAGGTACAATGATGCACAATTTTGAGTCACTACATTTGGTAATTGCTTACATTTGCGATACTATAGTGTTATTATTGGGGTAATATATAAGGTTTATATAACACTTAACAGTTTACAAAGTACTTTCATGCAGCTCATTTAAACCTTGAGATGGATAAGAAACCCGAGGCTTACAGGGATTGGGTCCATATTCAGTTCTCTGACTCCAGTTGTACTACTTTTACCTCTAGCATGGTTGTATTTACTGGCACAGTATGAAACATAGAAGCTATAAAATGTGTAATTCTTTTTTTTTTTTTTTTTTTTGAGACGGAGTCTGGCTCTGTCGCCCAGGCTGGAGTGCAGTGGCCGGATCTCAGCTCACTGCAAGCTCCGCCTCCCGGGTTTACGCCATTCTCCTGCCTCAGCCTCCGGAGTAGCTGGGACTACAGGCGCCCGCCACCTCGCCCGGCTAGTTTTTTGTACTTTTTAGTAGAGACGGGGTTTCACCGTGTTAGCCAGGATGGTCTCGATCTCCTGACCTCGTGATCCGCCCGTCTCGGCCTCCCAAAGTGCTGGGATTACAAGCTTGAGCCACCGCGCCCGGCCAAAATGTGTAATTCTTAAGAAGAGATGATATTAAGGTAACTAATAATTTATGAACTCATAAAGTTTATAAGATTTAGAGTATTTCATATCCTGTTGGAAAATTGTCTTAAAATGAGTAAAGACAAGACTGTTTTCTAGTTGAATGAATAATTCATTATAACCTTTTTGTTATAGAATTAAAGTTACCGTTTATATAATTGCCTAGGTTTAGACTTGAAAAATTGGTTTCTCTTCTGATTATTTATAAGTGGAGATATTAGATTGTGTGGCCACTAATATTTTTTGATTCCCTGACCAGGAAAGTAGGGGAACTCATTATCAGTGTCTTCACATATTTGGAGAAATATGTTCAGGAGGGATTAGACTTTTTTCTAAGATGATGGAAAATACAAGGAGACATATTTAGCCTCAGTATGAGGGAAAATTCTAACAAAACTGTCTAACAATGGAATGGACTGCCTCAAAACCTAGTGGAGGAGCCTCTGACATTAGAGGGGCTACCACAAGATGGAGAAGTGCGGTATTGGAGCAACAGTAAAACTAGATAACCCTGATTGCTAACACCTGTGGAATTCTGTAGTTCTAGAGTGACGCTAGAAGAACTGGCTTGCCACATCAGTTTATGTTGAATTTCTTCCATTCATAATTTGAGGGAAATAACCTCTGAAGAATAATGTGAGATTAGGTGAGACACTGTATATATAAATATTTTAGAAACATTCTGTAAATCCGAGATAGTAATATTTATTCTGTACCTTTCAATATCTGCATCAGAAAACTTTATATTACAACTACTTGAAAATATATAGTTACTTGAGGATGAAAAGAATGTAATTTTTTAGTTAAGATACTATCTGTTACTGCAAGGATATTAAGTAATCTGAGATATAATTTGATTTATGCCTTTTGAAAACTTTCCTTTAAAATTTGTGCTCTACTTGCATATTTAACAGTGATTGTACTTCATTTCAAACCATTTAGATTTGATGTATAGCTAACTCATATTAATATTAGCTGTATAGTTACTACATATCATAGAAAGTGCCAGTTAATCAATGTATTGACTTTGTGTATGTTATTCGAATGCCTTAGAAATGTAGATATTTCTCAGGCAAATTGATTGGTAAGCTAAAGAAACGTAGATGTAGTCTTAATTTCAAATTGTTTATTAAGCATCAAAGCAAGAGAAAAATCGTAGGCTACTGTGAATTGTACTTTAATTTGTTCTTTTTTCCCTTCCTTTTAATCGCCTGGGCTATTTTCCTGCATGTATTCATTTTTAAACGTTTAAAATCTAGAGTGAGTTCAAATGCTTCTTTTACGCAAAGACTGTTTACACTGCACTGTTAAAACATCAGATTATCGAGTTCAAGTCTTTAAGGGAACATCTCTTTTGACATCTTAAAATTTAACTCGAAAAGGGTTTCTTTAAACTGTTAGGCGTAAAAATATTTTAACTTTCTTATTTCAAATTTTAAAAACTCATACATATCAGTTCATGTATTCATTTCATTCAATAAGTATGCATTGTGCATATGCTGTATACCAGGCATTGTGCTAAATGCTGAGGCTTCTAAGGTGAACACAATTTTTGGTTTTTAGATAGTTGAGATTAAGAAAGTTGTACTTTTAGTCACTGTTTTCCTTGCTGATAAATGAACACATTGTCGCAAACACAGGCATGGTCCCTCTTTGTCCATTATACCAAACATTAAGCCTTGAATTATATTGGATAAATGTTTTCTTTTATAACTTGATGTTATTTGTATGTGTTTATATATACATGACTGATTTGTTTGACTACTAATGTATATAATACCTATTTTTTCCCTCCTATTCCAGGCACCAAATATAGATGAAAAAGTAGATCTTCATTTTATTGCATTAGTTCATGTAGATGGGCATCTCTATGAATTAGGTAAGAACTATTTTAATTTGTCCTGGGGAGAGAAATGGTAAATGGGAAAGTCTCTACTTATGATAAACAGGACTATTGATATTTATTGTGTTTACTTAAATTAACTGATTGCCTATAAAATTGATTTGACATAGTGACAGTTTTCCTTTTAAGATAGTTTGCTAGAAAAATGTTACTTTATGTTTAAGCAACTTTTAATTCAAAAAGGTTTGCGTACCATCTTCACATTTTAGCAAAGCAAGAAAGTAAAAACCATTACAGGGAACTTCTGCAAATCACTCTGGCAGTTGTTACGAAATTATTGAGTGGGCTATCATCAATATCTGGCTGAACAACCTTTAGTTTTGAAAGATAGTGTAATATTTGGGAGGCTGAGGCAGGCAGATCACCTGAGGTCGGGAGTTTGAGACCAGCCTGACCAACATGGAGAAACCCAGTCTCTACTAAAAATGCAAAAATAGCCGGGCATGGTGGCACATGCCTGTGATCCCAACTACTCGGGAGACTGAGGCAGGAAAATCGCTTGAACATGGGAGGCGGAGGTTGCAGTGAGACAAGATGGCGCCATTGTACTGCAGCCTGGGCAACAAGAGCGAAACTCCGTCTCAAAAAAAAAAAAAAAAAAAGATAGAGTAATAGTCATAATGATTGGGCTTTGTTTTCAGTAATGAGTGTCACTAGTTTTCAGGGTTTTGTAGCGTTCCTGTAATTTTTTAAAGACTTTACAGAAGCCTTTGTTTTCTGGCATTGGTTTCTTCAGGCATGTGTCAGAGTACCCATGATTAGTTACTTGGTATTTTGGCTGATACCTGTACTTTTTTCTTTTAAGTTTACCTTTCAGTGGACTATTTCATGATATGTTGGAGGAGATCACATAATTTTAGATAATTTACTCAGAATAAACTTCTTGTAATTTTTTCATAATTGGTATACCATACTTATTATGACTTATTCTTTTCCATAAGACCATCTTGAGTTTTAAAAAAGCCAAATTAACAACAAAAGAGAAGTTCTTTTCAGTAATTCTAGATACCGTGAATTTTGGTTCTATTACCTCTCATTTGCTGTCTATATATTACCTTGTCACATTAATTGTAAGTTTTTTAAGGTAGAAGAGTTTTGAAAGGACGCAGATTGTGACTGTAAATGTGATCCATCAAATTTAGGTGGATTTTGTGTTTGGAATATTAGCAACAGATCGCATACTTTATTAAAAAGAAATGGCCCTATCAAAGGGAACAAGGAAAAGAAAGAACATAATATTTATAAAAATGTGCAACCCTGAGGGTTGTCTACAATAGTAGAGTGATTTGAAGAGTCATAAAACTTAAATGAAAAGAAGTCATTGTTTTGGTAGTATATAATGGACCTGCAGGACAGTTTGGAAGATGTGCCTTGCTAATTCAGTCTATAAAATCTGCAGAGATAAAGTATAATGGTGACTGGGGACTTCAGATGTCTGGGTGGTTGCTGGAAGCAGATTTTCTACTCTGAATTGTGAGTAGTAATTAATAACTAGTGGAAGAAGAGGTAAAGAGAGTGCTGGGACTTAACAGACACATTCTGTTGACTTCAAGAAAGTAGATTTGGCCAGAGCAAAGATATGTATGATTCATAACCAGAAACTAAAAATGTGATTGTGACTTTCCGAATGAGAGACGTATAGAGGAAATAATAACATCTAAAATATATTTAAACCAAA